CAGATATGCGAAGAGTCACAGGTCACAGACTGTTTTAAAGCAGAATTTTTCAAGCTGATGAACATGTTTTATTCAGGCTGGCTGAGCTGTGTGTCCCAGTGACAAGAAAGCAGTTTTAATTTTTTTTTTCCATTATGTATTTGGAGTTTTTAAAGTACTGACTCTGACATTATTACGCTGTCGGATGCAGCTGTTCTCATCAACTGGTCTGTTACAGCAGTGGTACCACTTTGAACTTTGCTATGATGAATAATACAGCATATAGCAGTTTTATCCTGATGTATAAGTTAACATTTTGAATATTACTTAACATTTCTTTGGTGGTAGTCAAGAGCTTTCCTTTCTGTATACTGTCCTCCCCATGCTTCCTTGTTTTCACCTCTTTCCCCTTTCTGTCTTATTCTTTGAGTCATCATCCATAATGTCACATTGTGTTTTGCTGTCAGAAATTTTCTTTACTTTCTTGTTTCTTTGTGTCATGCCTTACATATTTGGTGAATAAAACTTCTCAAATAGGGCTTTTCATGGTCCTGTAGCTTGCATGCTCCAGCCTGAGCTTGGTTGTCTTTACCAATGTCTTCTGTTGCAGGGAGAAGCACACAGGAAAGTGACTGCTAGTAATATCCTAATTGTTGCATGGAACACACGGACAGTGTATTCTCTCTTCTGCACTTTGGAGGTCAGGCTCCTGAAGAAAGAAAACTACATCATAGAAAGTGTTAGGAAGTAAACTTTCCATAGAAAGTGTTAGGAAGTGTTGATTCAGTAAATGACTTTTTGCTCCTTTTGAGTTAGGGTTGAAAGAATCAAGACAAGCTGATGCTTTATTCTCCCTAAAATGTCTGATTGCCTACCTTGATAGGTAGTCTTGATACTTGACATCTACCTGCCTGGCAGGTGAAGAAAGAAGATAGCATGACCATCTCAGAAGTGAGGCAAGGAAGATGGGGAGAGGAATGAGCTAGATGTGATCTTTGGGAGTTACTGTTGGATGATCTTGTACCATGACATCTGACTGTCGGTAGGCAGGAAGAGGTGGTGGAGCAGTGGCTGTAGCTGTCAGCCATCACGTGACTGTATAGAATCATCGAATTGCAGAATGGTTTGGGTTGGAAGGGACCTTAAAGATCATCTAGTTCCAACCCCTCTGCCATGGACAGGGACACCTTCCCCTAGATCAGGTTGCTCAAACCCTATTCTAACCTGGCCTTGAACACTTCCAGGGATGGGGCAGCCACTACTTCTCTGAGCAACCTGTTCCAGTGCCTCACCATCCTCAGAGTGAAGAATTTCTTCCTTAGATCTAATTGAAATCTCCCCTTTTTCAGTTTAAAGCCATTAGCTTTTGTCCTATTGCTACACACCTTTGTAAAAATTCCCTCTTCAGTGTTCTAGTAGGTCCCCTTTAGGTGCTGGAAGGCTGTTCTAAGGTCTGCCTAGAGCCTTCTCTTCTCTAGGCTGAAAAACTCTAATTCTCTCAGCCTGTTTTCAAAGGAGGGGTGCTCCAGCCCTTAGATCATCTTCGTGGACCTCCTCTGGACTTGCTCCAACAGCTCCATGTCCTTCTTATGTTGGGGACCCCAGAACTGAACACAGTACTGCAGGTGGGGTGTCATGAGAACAGAGTAGAGGGGCAGAATCCCCTCCCTTGACCTGCTGGCCACGATTCTTTGGATGCAGCCCAGGATACGGTTGGCTTTCTGGGCTGCAAGTGCACATTGCTGGCTCATGTTGAGCTTCTCATCTACCAACACTCCCAAGTCCTTCTCCTCAGGGCTGCTCTCAATCCATTCTTCACCCAGCCTGTACTTGTGGTTGGGATTGCCCCAACACATGTGCAGGACCTTGCACTTGGCCTTGTTGAACTTCATGAGGTTTGCATGGGGCCACGTCTCCAGCCTGTCAAGGTCCCTCTGGACGACATCCCTTCCCTCCAGCGTGTTGACCACACCACACAGCTTGGTGTCATCAGCAAACTTGCTGAGGGTGCTCTCAATCTCACTGTCCATGTTGCTGACAAAGATGTTAAACAGCGCTGCACCTGATACTGATCCCTGAGGAACGCCTCTTGTCACTGGTCTCCACTTGGACGTCGAGCCATTGACTGCAATTCTTTGAGTGCGACCATCCAGTCAATTCCTTATGCACCGAGTGGCCCATCCATCAAATCCGTGTCTCTCCAATTTAGAGGCAAGGATGTCGTATAGATGGGAGTTGTCAAGTGTACATCGCTTATTGTAACGCCATTGTCATTCACAACCAGCCACAGAGCAACAGCTGCTGAGTTTAGCTCTGTTTCACTGTGCTGTTGATTAAGAGGCGAGGCAGGGAGGATTTCAGAGATGACTCTGCAGGTAGCTGTCTTTAAGAAACAATTTTGTTCGAATGCCCTTTGTAGGCAAAGAAGATTATTTAATAATTTTTCTCATCTCTTTCCCACAGCAGCTTTATTATCTGTTGCATATTTACTATTACTTTTTAATTTCTGAAGAGACAGCATATTCCAGTTGGGTTGAATAACTGAAGTAGATATATTTTTCTTGCATGTAATTTAAATATATTATTTAGTCATATTTATGATTCCATTCCTTTATGTTTCTGATCTATGTGTGTCTTGTGAACAGTGTTATGTGACCCATAATAATTTTTTAAAGGTGGAACGTACTTACCTGAATATTTAATTCTTTGTCTTAAGACAGTTCCTCTATTGTATTTAATCTGTACTATAATAAGTTGGTCTTTTTTTTTTTAGAAGTACTCAAAGCAAGTATGTGACGTTGACTAAAAACTTAAAGCTTTGTTATTTTTTAAAAAGTGTATTGGTTTAAAGAGTGCTCACTTCAAAGAGACCTGATTCCTGATCAGTGCAAAGCTGATGATACACCAAGTGAGGATATACTGCCCTCTTATCTCCCTGTCTCTCCAGATACTTAGAATTGTTTGTTTCTGATAAGCCCTCTGGCCGCTTATATTTCCTTTACCTACTAATCACTTGCATTTACTGTGTTTATATGTTTTTTTCCTACTGTTCTTCTCTCCACTCACATACAACAATTTGTCTTCCCTTTTCTGTACGTTCTTTTTGCTTTTTCTTTCAATCTGCTCTAAAGTGTAAGAACAAATTCAGCAGCGTTGCTTCTGAGCAGAACCGCTGTCTGCAAGGCGCTGCCTGCAGAACGAAACTCTCCAAGCACACTGAAGAGATGTCACTCCAATCGCTTCGAAATAGGAACGTTTTACTGACTTCTTTAATGCATCGGGTATCAGCCGTTGAAAAAGAAGTAATCTATTAAAAGGCGTCTTGAAATTTTAAGCATTCTTTTAGTTTTCTTAACTTAGTACATTGTTTTCTCTTTTTTGTGTGAGATCAGAATCTCTTGCCTCACATTTCCAAGCAGTCCTGGAGTCCTCCTGATTGCTTGAGTGGAGATATATCATCTTATGTATGGCTTTTGTTATGATTTGTTTATACTGTGTTTAACACATGGAAAAAAACCCGTGTCTTTAGAGGGCAATAGCTGTAGTTAGTGGTGTCTTTGGCCATAAATACTGTCTTTAGAGGAAAAGATGGTTAACCTTCTTGTGGGATTTTTTTTTTCTTTATGCTTGCTCCAGTAAATGATCTGAAATACAAACCCAATCTTAAATTACTTTTTTACATCTGTGTTTTTCTTTTTTCATTCTCTTTGGTGGTCTGCATTAAAGTATTTTCTATTCTTATGAAACTAGGAGAATCATGACCTTACTTCCTCTATATTGTCCAGAAAGAAATGCAAAAGAGTTTTGCCCTCAATTTTTCTATCTGCATATAAACATTGAATTTATTCCAGCACAGTTGTTTTAGATGTGGTAAAATATTTTATAAACATTTGTTTACCAACTTCAAATTTATTTTTATGCATTCAGATATAATACATTTTTAACTTGAGTCTGTTTTATTTCTTAACTTCTCTAGACTAATAAGGGCATGGGGAGAAAAAGGAAGTAGTTACACGTGTAGTAGAAGCAAAAAAAGGAAAAGAGTTTGCTTAAATGTGTTGTCTGTTTTAGACTGGATTTGGAAAGGTGCCAGAGTACTTTCAACTCTTACTGTCTGCAGTGGGAGCTGAATTCTCAGCATCAAAAAAGGAATTATTTTGTATATTTCCTTGGGAACTACACAGAACCATCCAGTAAGACATTTTCGCAAATAAAGCTTTGTTTATGTTTTGTAATCTCTCTGTGGTGATTTTAAGATTCTGGTTTAAAAGCTAATGCACAGATTTTGTGTTGTAATGGTATTGTTCTTTAGAGGCCTTATGAATACTTGAGTATTCTTTTCTTTTTGTCTATTGGAGAGATCAGTCCTGAAAGTTTCAGTTTGTAGCCTTGAGTGAAGCGTTCAAAAATTTAAAAGAAAAAACTCCTACTATTCATGTTATACAAGTCTGTTTTGATGTCATTTCCAGACACCTTTTGAGGAAAAGGAGGAGTAAATGTAAGAGCTTAGTGCTTTTTTGCAAGTTAAACAAAAGCATGGGGCTTTGAACAGCATGAGATTACTTTGAACATGCCACAACTTGCTGTACGCACCTGGGCCAGTGACTTACGCACGCTCCAAGCAAGGAAAACACTCGATAAGCATTTGGTGCTACCTGGTAGGATTGTGGCCTTACTATGTTTCAGCTCTCTCCCTTGTAAATGGGTGACGTTTGCCTAAATTATTGAGATGCTGAGAACACAAACCTGGACAGAGATCAGTGCAGTTTGCTGCTGTTTGCCTGTCCTTTTTCTTTTTACGTAGCTTCCCTCCGTCACTGTGATTTTGAGAGGGCTGCGTTGCGTGTATTTATAAGAGCAGAAAATGATTCCAGTGCAGAAAGCACTTACTTTTCTCTGGTGTTTTCTGTATTATATGTTATGAACAATGGCCAAAGTGAAGTCTAGATTAAATATCATGAGCACGTTTGAATCATGTGTTTGAATGAAAATGCAATTGCATCTTTATTTATGCTTTACAGGAAGAAAAGGCTTCTCTCCTGCATCGTACTCAGGAAGAAAGGAGAAAACGAGAGGTAAAGTAGACTGTAAGCATTTGCATGCATGCTGGATTTTATGCTTTGATGTAGTAACATTTACAGTGCAAAGTACTCTGCTCCAGTTGTACTTAGTTCAGGAATGTTTTGGTTCAGTTTTCAAGTTCTAGTTTCCAGTGTACTAGAATTTTCAGACTGTTTGCTTTTAAGATGCTTCCCAGAAGTGATTTTCGCCTTAAAAGAAGGTAGTTATACATGCACTGGGTGCAAAGGGAATTTCTCCTTTTATTTTGGCGCTCGTTTGATCTAGTCTTTGTTGAGAAAAGACAGGTATTTGAATAATACATTGCACTTTTGCCTTGTCCATAATCTATTACTATGGGTTGGTTGTGGCAAACTGTCTTCTGCTCCTGATTCTGCCATGGTTTCTTGGATGGCCTTCAGCAATTCACTTCCCCAGTGTGTTCTTAGGTTCAGTGGAGGTAAAATCATAACAATGACACTTAAATGCATGCTGAAGTGCTTTGAAATCATCTCATAATTGAGGAGCAATGAGAAGCAGTTGTGAAGTTGATGTGTGAGGCTTTAGGAAATCTTAACACTGGTTTGAGGTGGAAGCTGACTGCCATGGATTATTCCTTCTCAAAGGAGGAATAGGCATTGAAAGGAAGAATACCAGTTTTAGAACACAAATATAAAAATTTTAGGTTTTAAAATATATGGCAATGTGAAAACAAAATTCAGTAATATGAAATTAAAGTGAGTATGCTCATGTCATTTTTTTCCCCTCTCATGTAAGTAGAAACAATTTTGGTCATAAAAATTATTTTAAAAGTATAACTATGTGGTTTACATGCTAATCAAGAACAGAGCTGTTTGCCCCTTAAAGGTGTGTTTGACCCTTGCTAGATTTCATACAGGTTTTGCAGTGGCTCCTCTTTTCCTGAGGACAGTTACTGCTTTTTTTTCTTTCAAGCCTGGATGTGTAATTAAAGACCAGGTTTAAGTATGAAGTTACTAGAATTTCACCAGTTAGTTCAGAGTGCTGTCTTATGAATCAAATTTGTGATCAAAGCTGGCCTTTCAGTTCCTCAGAAAGTGAGCCACACTAAAAAGAGATGATTTTTAACTACTCTTTCTAGCCACTGAGGAAGAAATCATAAAATGACGCACTTCATATGTCTGGTTTGAAGGAGAGAGCAGGAATTTTTATTAATTTCCATGTTGTGCTCCTGGACTTAAAGCATTAAGCCTCATTTTCCTTTTGACAGCAGTATTGTCTCCAAAAAACTCAGTATTTTTTTTGTGATTTATTTCTTTTCCCTATGTCTAAACTGCACCAGCTTCGTAATACTGATATGTTATTTGAATGGAAACAAATAAGCAGGTCTTCAGTGTCAGCTGATCTGTCCAGAAGGGGGAATGGTGCCATTGAATTTGATGAATTCTTCAACATTTTAATACTAAGACTTTGTATAATAAAATACAAATGTGTTGATTTTGATTCCTGTAGTATTACATACTTATTGAGTATTAAAAATTCTTTTACAATATCTTAATGGTAAATTTACACTTAGAAACATAAAAAGCTTTCTCCTTGATTTATGTGTATTAAATGCAAACCTTCAGACACTTTATTTTACTAATGGTTATTGCTTAAGTTTCATTAAAAAAATTCCTTTTGAATACAAATATATTTGATAAAATTGCAGAAATTAGAGGCAGTTCCACAATGTTGATTTTTACCTTCTTGCTTTGTTTTACAGGAAGAAAGGCGGAGGCTGAAAAATGCAATAATAATTCAGTCATTTGTAAGAGGGTACAGAGACAGAAAACATCAAGTAAGTACTTATTTATTTATTTAGAAAGATGTAAAACACTTCTGCTGAAAATGAGACTTTCTAGTAATAAACACTTCCTTTGAAAAATCTTCACCGTTTCAAGTATTGTGTATGCCCACAAAGTGCAAGTTATTCTTCTCTGTTGACGTTTTCATTTGAAACTCAGTATTTTAGGAGATGGCCGTTTGTTCCGCAAAGCACGTATGTGACAGGGAAGTTCAGTGAGATTGCACAATTTTTCTGAGCTTACAAAGCATATGAAAACAGTTAGGTATCAGCAGCTTACACATACCAGTGGGGCTTTTTTTCCCAGTATGACTAAGGTGGTAGTTTGAGTCAAAAAGATGTTCTTTCTGAGCTGCTGTTGGGTAGAGTCTTCTAAGAAAGAGTTATATCTGTTTAAATTAGCTTGTGTTTATTGAGTGAACTAGATGAAAATGTTTGATGGATATTCCGTACTTGAGAAGCAACAAATTTGTTACGGTGTGTACTTTTTGAATTACAGAAAGCAATTGTGGCTTTAACTGTGATATTGTGTGTATGTTTTGATCTTTTAACAAATGTCTTGTATTCGTTTTGCTTCTTTGCTACCACTTTGGATGGGAAATGGAAATGAAGTTTTTAGAGGTTTACATCTCTGATTTAATTCATAAACATTATTGATGTATTGATGCATGTATTATTTTTAATTTTTAAGTACTCTATCCAAAGAAGTGAATTTGATCGCTGTGCTAATTTGGCCCAATCTGGAGGAACCTTTTCCACTGCTAATGGAGCTAACTTGACCCTTTTAGTTCGTCAGTTACTCTTTTTCTATAGACAGAATGAGGATTCTAAACGTTTGGTGAGTACTGTTGCATACTTTTGATCTGTCATACTTTTATTTCATGCACTTTTAAGATACTTTCACTTGGAAGATTTCGAAGGGGTGTAGAAAAGACTTTGGCCACTTCAGTAAATTAATTTAAGAATTCTGGCTTAAATTATAAGCCTATACTATAGGCTAGTTCCTATACTCTGCTGTTTTTTTTTGAGGCAGAATAACTTAAAATTAGATTTTATGTGTGCACGTGCACAACACAACACAACACGCACACAAAGTCTGTGAAAAAATGAAGCCTTTACAGAATTATGGCTATTTAAAAACAAAAAAATTAACAGATAAATTTTTTGCAAGAGTAAAGTTATTTGTGAGAGTAATTTGGTCTTAACTTTGAAAGTTTAATACTAGCAGTCATGTACTTTGTTGTGTAACAATTTTTTTTTTCTCAGCTGAACATGATTGTCTTGCTTCGTGTTTTGTAAGTCCTCCAAAGGTATCCAAAACAGGATTACTGTCTGTGTTGCAATAAATAAGTTGTTGTTACAAACAGTGAACTTGTGCGTATCTTTTCCCAGGTATGGATGTGTCAGAATTTAATTAAACAGAGTTCTCAGTTTGTTAAGCAATTGGATGGTCCAGACCGACTTACTTGCTTATTCCAAATAAAAAGACTGTTGGGGCTGTGTTGCAGGTAAATTCTTTCTGCTATGTGCTACTGTCTAAAAAGTGTTCAGAAAGTATGTTGAGCACTTGTTAGTTTCTTTTTGCAGCAGGTGAAGTATTAAATGTAAATTTATTTTATGGAGAAGACTGATTATGTTAGAGATATATGTAGGCCATGGTATAGGATACTTGTTCCTATGTAAGAGCAATGGAATGTTCTTAAGTTCCATTGAATTTCAAGTTCAGCATGTGCTTAGGGAGGCCCTGCCTAGGGATAGGCTTAAGTATGTTCTTAACTGTTCTCATATAGCAATGTCATTGACAATATTTGTGGAAACCAGAAGGTTTTCTTGGGAACTGATGGCGATTAGAAGGTATATCTTGTTTTAAAACTAATATTATTCAAGATGCTTTTCCTTATACTTTATTTTGAGTTGAAGGCATGTTAAGCAGTTACATTACTGGCTTCAGCAGTACATTTATTATTTGTAATGGGAAGATCCTGGGAGGATCACAGGAAGGTAAATCTGTGAAGGCGACTTGCATAGCTGGTGGCTAAAGCCTAGTTTTAGAAAACAATATGTTTGCTCTTATCAATAATAGGAACTAGATACACTCTCCAGAGCTTTAAAATAGGTCTTTTTTCTTTTAATGTTGAAGCTTTTTTAGAAAATTGTTTGATAAAGTCACTGAACCTTGCATTCTTAGAATTGTGTATATTGTATCTGTAATAAACAGTGACACCAGATACCAAAGAAGACTTGAGTGGTGGGCTTCGAAGTCCACATACAGTGGAACACAGCTGTGGTGACGCTGGGTTGATTTGTACACTTTCACTACAGTTGAAATTGTGGTTTTGTAAATGCAGCTTTGTTAGTATTCCCACTTGCTCTGCCTGACTGAGTGACGTGGGAAAACAAAGGGAGGTGGAAAAGCTGTCCCTGCCTGTACGTATAGGGAGAATGGAGGAAGAAGCTCTTCTTGACTTCACCTTGCCAGCATGATGAGGGGTGTCTATACTTGCTTTCTGAGCTACTTGAATTTTCAGCAAAAGCCCAGAAAGTGAGCAGTGGGACAGGTAGCCAAAGAAGTGTTTCCCTGAGATAAGTTTAGATTCATGAGAAGCTGTAGCTTTTGATGCTATGGAAAAAAAAAGGTGATTGTGTAGTATCGTAGCAAAAAATGGTAGTTTGATTGTAGCTGCATCTACCAAAAAGATCTTATTGTCAGAGTATCTTTTTTTTCTGTTTCGTGAAATGTCTTATGTATGGTGTCAAAATAATTTTTGCTGAGAGGTCCCATCTTTCTGAATGGCTGGGAAAAAAAAGCACATTGTTAGGGCAACTGTGCCTGTATGAATTTCATGCTAACAAATCTTCTTGATTTTAAACAGGCTCTTAGTCTTCACCTTTTATGTTCACTGTTCTTCACTGTTACTGTTAGTTGTTTCATAAACAATTTGCTAAAAGGATGGGGATGGTTGTATTTCTAGTATTTCAGTCTGGAATCAGGGGCATATTGTTATAGCTACACATACGACATTCTCCAGCGTTTATTCCCAGCCCATATTGCTCTGGGGCTTTCATGACTTTGTAATATGAATAGTAATACATGTTAGAAAAACATGTATTATTCTTTGCTTCTCTTCCAGTTTGTGCAGTAGACCTCCAAACTTTTGAGTCATTGAAGGCAAGAATTTAGTAGGATTTAAGGAGAGAGTGCCATATTCATAGAAACCCTAAAATGAGGAATTAGTATTATAAAAGGGCCAACAAAAAGATGTAGCTAAACTCCTGAGAACACCTGGAAACCAAGTAGAAATAAGTCATTTTAAGGTGGCTGGGAAAATTTTTTTGTCGTTTTATTTTTAAATCAGTGTGCATGTACCTATGGTGAAATAAGATAAATATCTTGTTAAATAATTTTAATTTAATTTCATTTATAGGCTATTGCAAAATTGCAATGATGACAGTCTGAATGTTGCACTTCCTATGAGAATGCTTGAGGTATTTTCATCTGAGAATACGTATTTGCCTGTTTTACAAGATGTCAGCTATGTGACATCATTAATTGAACAAATTTTGCACTACATGGTTCAAAAAGGTGAGTAGCTAGGAACTAGAAGTTCTGGGAAATACTCAAAAATTAAACAGAACGTGTAATATCTCAAGACCCTGTTGTTTAATTGTATTTTGCCTTTACCATAGACACAATGAAATAAGTGCTGCATACACTAACCTATACATTAGATGGATATTTTGCTTGTAAGGAGATCACTGTTTGAGAAATTACTGTTTGATTTCATTGGAAATTCTGTTTATAAATCGAATATTCTACTGAGTTACTTATACAGACCACAGATTTTGAGAGTAAGTGGATGTTACCTAACAAAAGTTTTATTCCAATAGCTATTTGTACACCCCCCACACCCACTCCCGTGGCAAATCTAAGCTTTAGTTGTGTAAAAGTGGGGCATTGTTTTGCAGTACTGTTCTCTACAACTGCTGATGTTCATTGTTACCATAAATTGGCATCACCTTTTCATCCTGCTAACACTAGAGACACCTTAACAAAGAGACGGTGACCTAGCTTTTGTTTCCCTTGTACCATCATCAGCAAAACTGTTTGCTAAACTGCAATCAGTTACACCTGTGCAAACATGCTGAAAGTTAATGAATTGTGTAGTTATCACCAAAATTATGTTTTGTCTTGAAGAAACTTCATTACTTTGGGGATGTGTGAAAAAATAATTTGGCTTTCTGATACTGTAGCTTGAGTTTGCAAGACTTGTGGATGGGGAGAAAAAACATTATGAAATCATAATTTTGGATCCAGCTTCATTGTTGTAAAAAGAGCACCTTCCAATTTGTTAGTTAATTGTTGGAATAATCTGTTTTTGCAAGTTTTAAAGTATATTCAGTGGACTAGACTATGTTATCCTGTTGCTAAGGATTTGGTTTGAACTACTATGTGTTGAAGTCACTAGGAGAATAAAATTACTCTTATTGTAGCATATTTATTTTAATTGCCTAGGCATAACTATAACTGTAGAAGTATTTGTTTGTCACATTGCTTACTATATGATAAATCTATCTTCCAAAATACTTTTATGTTTGTTCTTTTAGTATAATGTTTAGTCCTCACAACTGATACATGAAAGCATATCAAGATGTTAGATCATAAATTTTAGTAAAAAAAATCAGCTTTCTGATTACTTAAAACAAAAAGAAGCAGTCGTGTGCAACTACTAATCATTTATGATGGTTAATTTGTAAAGAATCTGTAATCAGCTTTTATTAGTATAGATTTTTGCATATAAATTGTCTTCCATGTGCCTCTTGTCAGCACTGCTAAGTTAATCCTTTGTGGTGACTTCCACTTGTTACCTCCTATGTGAAGTTAGGTAGTCCCTGGCAAACTGGACCTCTCAATGGTGTGACACTGTTTGTGCATTTACAGTGGTTCCTGTAGTAGTGGAACTTGCATCTTAGTTTAGGAGTTCTTTGAGGAAGTTGGTTTTTAAATCATGTGGTTCCGTTTGTACTTTAGTGAGACAAAAATAGATTACCCTCTACACATGTCTTTATGGCTTGGGTGGTAAGGCATTTTATTACTGTCTGAGAGATCCCTGTTTAGGGAACAGTAATTGAGTTCTTCAGCTTGCTAAAGCAACGTGTTTATAGAATTGAGACATTCTGCCAACAGGACTCTTACCTGTATAATGCAGTCGTGTTTTGGAGTAGAGGGAAAAATTCATTATTTCTGAAATGGTGGAAGGACAGCTGTCAAAATCATGACTGGAGTCACTCAGAGGAGAACATCTTTTTCATAGGTCATTGTTTAAAAAAAATCAAATTATTCACTTCATCAACAGGAGTGGTCGATCTTTAAAAATCGAACTGACTCTGAATGCAATTATCTATCTGATTTTATAAAGTGATGTTTCCAAACAGGTTGCTGGTGTATCCTGTTAGTTATGTGAATATGATTTGGACTATTGTAAAATGTCTTCTTGAGTCCTTCAGTGAATTGTAAAGTTTTTTTCAAGTTAAAAATGTTAAGTATAGAAGTTCTTTGTAAGGAAATAATACTGTATTTAAAAAGGGATATTTCTTATTTGCAGGCTACTACAAGTCGCTTTATTTGTTAATTAACAATAAGCTTCCCTCGAGTATTGAGTATTCTGATGTTTCTCGAGTCCCTATTGCAAAAATACTTCTGGAGAATGTTCTGAAGCCATTGCACTTTACATATAGCTCCTGTCCAGAAGGTGCAAGGTAAATAAAGATAATATTAGATATTTGTATACTTATTTGTTATTGTAAGAGGTGTGCAGTTTGTTGTTGCGTGTCTAGCACTTCCAGTGCAGTTTGATTTATTTACAATAGTAATGATTTTTTGATAACACTGTACATCAGTGAAATAATGTAGTTTCAGATGTGTCTAAGAAAAAGACAATAAAATGCTGAAGACTACAATAAACAGAGCACAGAGAATAGCAGATATCACAATACGTAGGAACATAGGTGTGGAAAAACTTAAATGAGAGCAGAGGTGCAGCTAAGAGCAGAGGAAAAGAATTTTAGAGTTAGAAAGAACTTAGTGACTGAGGAGCTGAAGTTCATGGAGAGAAATAACTAAGTCCTAGCTTCTAAGAGGAAAGAGTCATGTAGAAAGATGGAACAAAGATGAAACTCTGGTTTTATCACACTAGATAGTGTTTTGTGTTAAAGTAGTATTTTGGGAGAAAAAGACTAATTGTGCTTTTTTAATTTATTTTTTATTTCAAGATTCTGAACAACAAATTTAACTTCACAATAGTTTTCTGTGAGTTCATGAAAAGTTTAAAGGATAGAATTACATGTAAGGTCATCAGGGAAAGGATGTAGTATAAGAAGTTGATTTTTGAGAAATCTGAGAAATTTGGCTTATTAGCACAAGATTTATGGAGTGCATCTTTGCAGTCTTCTTGGTGGATGTGTTCAAACTTGCAAATTGATCTATTATTCCATGGATGTAATTGTGGGTAATTTTGCCTGTATTTTCTATAAAGACAATTTTTCTTCGTTTCAGGCAGCAGATTTTTGCAGCCTTCACAGAGGAGTTTCTGGCAGCACCTTTTACAGATCAGATATTCCATTTCATCATTCCAGCGCTTGCTGATGTGCAGACCATTTTCCCTTATGAACTCTTTCTGAATGCACTATTATTATCAGAAAGCGGATGTTCAAGAAGAAGTGATCAAGCCCCTTGGCTTTTTTACTTTGTGTTAACAGTTGGAGAAACGTACTTGGGTGAGAAAACTGAATGGCCAGTTCATTGTTTTTTTTCATATTTAATATGTTATATATTTCCACAACGTGGTTTGTTGCCAAGCAGAAAGAACAGTTTGTAGATACAAGTGTTGGAGAGATCTGTTTCATTAGCTATTCTTACCCTTTTCAGTAAAACATACACTCAATTTGGCAAGATTTGGCGTAATGTGTTTTGGTCAGGTATTTCTCGTAAACTGTATTTTTATAATGCAGTGTGATCCGGCTAACAGTCTTTTCAATGTATGTGCAACAGGATCCCTTTCAGAGGAAGGACTTCTTGTGTATTTGAGAGTACTCCAAACTTTTCTCTCTCAGCTGCCTGTGTCTACTGCTGGTACAAATTGTCAAGATACAAACAGTGATTCTGAAGATGAGGATGAAGAGATCAGTAAAATGACAACTGCACCAGTAAGCAGTACAAAATGTCTTTGAATGAACTTGTATTACAGCAGCATCAAATACAGGCAAAAACACGATCACCATTAAGTCTGGTATTTTTCTAACTATATGTAGAAGGGAGCATGTTTACGTCTTAAAAATAGATGGCTGCTTTCTGTAAGCAAATGGAACTGGTTGCTTACATTAAAAACAAAACCCTTATTAAAGAAAATTTGTTCTGAGGAGGCTTTAATACATAATACTCTTTACTGCAGTACAATTTCAGTGTATTTCTCTTCCGAGTTTATGTATTCGATATTTTCATGCATGCCTCTAACAAAAAGAAAAAAAAAAAAAAAGAAAAAAAGGAAGGTGGGTGGGGAACCCCTCTTTCTTAAAATTCATAATTGGTTAACTTGTATTCTTTAATGAGCCAGTCTGCTTTGTTCTGTTGAGGGCAAGATAAAGAGAGAAAATAGGGAAAAGATTGAACTCCACTCAGCGCTCAGTTCTATGCCAAGAGAAAACATTCCTCTCCTTACCCTTTGGCACTACCCAAAATTGTGTAATAGCCACCCAGAGGTGTTTTGTTAACCCCTGGATTATGAATGCGAAAATACTGTTTGTAAAAGAACTTTCAGTAGACATCCATTTCTGGATTTCATGTCCCCATGCTGACGGATGTCAGCGGGGAAGGAGTGACATATTTTATGCCAGTAAATGATCTCGCCTTATTGTATCTAAGTGTTGCAGAACTTTGTTAAAGGGAGTCTTGCCTGCTGGCCTGAGTGAAAAGATCAATATCATACCCAGCGGTTGCCTACCTAGGGCAATTGGATTTGATACTTTTAAGAATAATACCGGGATAAGTGCTTATGTTTTAATTATTGTACAAGAAAACTTTATGTTTTAGTAACATTCTGAAGTACTTTTTTTTTTTTAAAAAAAAAGGGATACTTGATCATTAAAAAGACATGAAGCAAATTTTTCTTCGATATGTTTGTAGGGTGATGGGAGAATATCAGTTCAGTACGTAACTGAGGAGTGTCTAAAGAAATTGGATACAAAGCAGCAGACAAACACTCTTCTGAATATGGTTTGGAGAGATTCAGCTAGTGAAGAGGTCTTTACCTTGATGGCATCAATCTGCCACACGCTCATGGTACAACACCGAATGATGGTGCCTAAAGTCAGGCAAGTATAAATAATAGTGATGTTGAACTGTAGTACATCTAAAATTTGTCTTTATTAGATAGAGTTGTTTTAAATACCCTGTGGGTTTTTTTCCTGTGCTTTCTTTTATGATCAGCTGAAATAAATAAGAATTGCAGAATTTGAACAATAATTCCAGGCAAACCAAAGAGGAGATTAATTCTGTTCCTTATTTTTCTTCTTGGTCATTTTGCTCTCTCTGGAGTAATCACTGAATCCAAAAATGTAAGCTCTTGGTTTGTTTAGTGAGTTACAATTAAGTTAGTATTCTATCACCACATTGTGGACTGTGGAACAGGTAGTGTTTGTGATCAGAAAATAGCACACAAATAGGGATTGCAAAGATTCTTGAAAAGAGTTTATCCGTCTGCTTGCTCAGAGGCAGCGTTAAGCATTATTCTAGCAGGAGTTTGTCTAGGTTGTTTTTAAAATTTTCAGTGATACAGATTCCACAGTCTCTCTAGCTGGCTGAGCACTGAAACCGACTTGTTCTCTACCTGCTTTAATATAGAGCGAAAATATCTCTTGCTACAAATTGGAATGATTCCTAACTATTGAAAACCAATGTCGCCGTTTGGGAAGGGCTTTGTCATCAGAGATGGAGATAAGACTTGTTCATTTGTACAGCATACTTTTATGAATTCTGCAAACCACAAATGTCAGTAACAATGGAAGAAGATTTTTGACCTTTTTGTCTTCAAACTAAGACTCATAAGTATTAATACTGTTCTGTTGCAAGTAGTTTTGAGTAAGTATGTAGTTGCTGGTAGTAAAGCAGGTATTTAGGGAATGTTGTAAACATAATCAATTCAAACTGCATTGTAAACAGTGATACAGAAAACTAATTAGGTGCTATCTTAGCCCAATGGTGTTTATAGCTGTTAGAGGAAGTAAGATGTCAGTGAAACTGTGATTGCTCGATTAGGGTAATTAGTTCTTTGTAGACTAATTGCATTAGAGCAGGATGTGAGACCTGAAGATCATAGCAGCAGCTGAATTAGTATGCCTGCTTTATTGTTGCAAGTAGTACATTGCCTTGGACAGTGATTACTGAGTTTAAATGCATCACTGCTTTGACTGGAGGTTTGCTGGTGAACTGTGTGGAACAGGGTGTTTAACGAATAAAGAAGTCACTCAGAACTTTAATTGTGTGAGTATGGCGTCTATTTCCTCTGAGAAGCCGTTTTGGGTCTTTGCAATTATTTGTGATAACAAGCTAGTTAGACACTGGATACATTCAGGAGTTATGAAAGCTCTACTCAGCATCTTGTAATGGTAAGCAATTTACAAATTTTAACTTTCAAGTAGCTCCAAGATAGTTGAATTTACCAATTTTAGAAATAAGTAGTAGAGACACTAAGATTTGTGTCAATAATACCAATGGAATTACTTTCATGGTCAAAGTGAAGTTAATTCATACAGGTCTTTGGTAAATTAAAGTAGACATTTAAGTACTAGTTCAGACTTCCAAGTCAAGCGTAAGTGTTGGGTTTGCCAGGCATCATCGTGTCAGGACGTGTCAATCTTTTGTCCTAATCTTAGTGCATTTTAGACCTGGCCTAAGTTACCAAGCAACTATTCTAAACATTTTTTTTGTGTGTTTTTCGAAAGACATTTGATATTGTTTTAAAGGTAGTAAGCGTTGTGCCGTTTCAAAAGACAAAAGATTTTTTATCATTAATTTCCACTTTTTTTTTTTTAACGGCTTGATGATTTTTTAATTGCCCAAATGATTTTGCCAAATTTAATTATAGTTTTTTTGAAAGATACTTTGCTTGCTTTAAAACTAACTTTTGAATTACTTAATATTCAGAGTAAAGTGTATCTATTTAGTTAAAACATGTAAAATAGGTAAGCAGAAATAATGTATTTAAAATTGTTTTTAATACATTCTAAGAGCTCAAAAATCCTCTTTTATTTTCTGTTTGGAAACATACTGGGTCAAATGGTTTAAAAGATAGAAAAGGTTATTAACAAAAACTTTGCCCATTTAACCACATTTACAACTGTAATAGAAAATAATTAAAAACATAAAGGCTGCAAATCTGCAAAGTGGGATGCTAAATAAAGAGAAGAATAACTGAAAATAACTTTTCAATAACTGTAAAGAAAATTAGGTGATTAACACAGGCTTTGGAAGGGAGGAAACAGCAAATACCTCTATTGTTTTAATAGTTCTGAGAGTTTTTTCCTTTTTGAAAAAAAAGATAAGAAACTCAATATAGACTTATGTCACTCACTTAAAGCTGAATACTTTTTCTTCTTGTGGCTTGTCAATATGTCTTCAATTTGACTGATGATGATGCTATATGGTATTAGGGACATCGGTGTCACTGCATTAGCTCAGTAGTTTCTTTGGCTTTGCAACAGAGATCAAGAAAGAAGATACCCAGAAGTAGAGCGTAGTTTTGAACAGAAGAAGCAAGCCTCTGCAGTTCCTTTTCTGATTATCTATAGAGAGTGGTGGGATCCAAAGGTGGATTGCTGGCAGAGCACATTGCTTTGGATTAGCTGTTAGGAATTTATCAATGAATTCTGAGTAAGTTCTGGAAAGGTACAGGCAGGCCCAATTAAAGAAAAAGACCACAGGACTGGAAAAACCTAGCTGTAGCCAGATGAGAAGTGTAGAATAAAATCCTGTTTGTAGTGAAATGATTGGGAATTGTACTTGTTTTTAGAAGGAGAGGGCTTTCATCTTTTCACTGTAAAGTTGATACATATTATTGAGTACAGTTATTAAAAAAAAAATAGCAAAAACATGAGTCTTAGAGTGTAGTTCTCATGACCACTAGAAAGAGATTTGCAAGACTTTTGTTCATCAAAACTATGCTTTACATAGCTAGTCAATTCTGTTTCCACAAAATATTTAGGGGGGTAATTTAATAGCATAGACTTCAGGTCATCGTTGTGACTTGGTATTAGAACCCTGGTGGGCACTGCGCTGGTACTGGGAATTCAGTCACTGTCAGCTGTCTGAGCAGTGCCCCAGAGTAATTGCTCATCTTGGTTTAATGGTTTAGTGGTGACCGTACATTGCTGCCATTTAATTAACATAGCACTACTGATCTTAGACTGGTTGAAAATTGTTTGGAAAGCTGGCATTCTGGTGCAATATGAGCAGCGTGTCTTCATATGTGTGCTGAAGGTTCTTAGGCTTTATGTGAGGCTATTTTTAGTAATTCTTCAGGGAACGTTCTTACGCTGTTGTGTTTTCCTTAGAACCAGAATCATTGTATATTAAGTTTCTACATTTATTTTCTAAGCTTTACTTTGCATAGTGGTTCCAGTACGAAGAGAGGCAGCAGCATAAAGCAGCCTAAAGGGCAGTATGGTTTGTTTGATGATGGCTTTGGGTGCTGGCTCCTACCTGTGACACCTCGCACTTCTCAAGTGTCGCAATCCACTGCCCTGCCAGCCGTGACCCTTCGCAGACTGTACGAGCTCCTCTCATTCTAGTGTATTCTCTTCATTAACTTAAATGGTCTCAGTGGGAAACTGGGCCCAATTTATGACCTAGACTGAAAATCTTGCCTTTAACTAATTAACTTGTAGTGGTGCCTCGGCTAAATTAAGCTTAATGGGTCATTTAATCTGTCCCATTGCGCGGGAGGAATTTGACGCTTTTTGAAAACCAGAGGTGCCCAAAATACCATTCTGGCATGGACACATAAATCATGTGGCCTCTGTGCACAATTAGATACCTGTGGAGAGAAACAAGGTTCTAAATAAATGATCGTTATGTACTTACTTTTGTGAGCAGATAATTCAATTTAGTATGATTAAAACAGATACTTAACAGAAATCACTAGAGTGAATTTAACCCTATCGTAGCTTGTGGCTGAGACAGTGTGCGTTTTTCCACTTGAAAGGAGCTTATCCTTTCTGGTAGCTGAAAAATGGTTCTTCTCCCAAACTACAGTCCTAACTCTGAATATTGAACTTCACAGAAAACCTATTAATGAATCCATTATATAAAACCATGTGTAATGGTCTCATAATGAAGAAGCTGTTGGTATGCAGTGAGATTTTCAAGAAAATACAGAACCATCAGATGAGATGGGTAAAACCCCAGTGTTTAAACTTCAGCCACTTGGTTTGTTTTTAGAATAATACAAATACTGAAAATGAAACCCCTGAGTTAGATTATAAAAATTTACATAAAAAGGAATAATGTCTAATCTTTTTTATTTCTAGTGTTTTGTGTGTGTGCTTTTTTTCTTTAAAGGAAAAAGTGACCAGGATTGTATGGATACTCAAGCTTTACATTAACTGATCTCTAAACTTTCTGGATTGATTATGCTTTATCTTCAGGATATTTAAGCTATCCCTGTAATGTTCTGCAGTTTATCAGGAATTGCACTGTGTCATTATAATGTAAGTCTATCTGGAAATGCTTGTTTTTAGCAGACAAACAGCTTTTCTCTGCCAAAGAAAAAGACCAAATGAGGTAGATTTTGATATTGTAATTCTCAAAGCTTTTATTTTTTACTTGGTAATTTACTTTTTTTAGGCTTTTTTGTTTTTTTTTTTTTGTTTTTTTTTTTTTTTTCTTTTTCAATGTGAAGCAAAAAATTTTGAAACTTTTTAGTACAGCCAATTTCTTGAACTTTTGCAGAGATAGAACTTTTCAAGGCCATCCTTGCATTGTGTCATTGTTGTTAAAATTGTTGTCTTCTACTTTGAAAGAATTTCTATACTTGGAGTGGCAGAGTAGTAGGTTGGTTGTGCTGGCATTTCTTTCACAATGGATTATATTTCAGGTGAATCTAGTGATGTAAAATTTTTGTAACACAAGGCCTAATTCACCCTTCTGTGTTTAGTTTGCGATTCCATGTTTTATTTTCTGGTAACAGTATGGAAATTTTAGAATCGATGAATTCATCTGCTTCATATTTCCTAGGTATTTCATGTAGACAAAGTAGGCCATGTGATAACATCTTCTACCAAATTTGCATTTTTGTATTTAACCAGATTTGAAGGGAAGGGAAATGTGAAAGTTGAATACATCAGCATTTTCTGGAATCGGGCCATGAAATATAGCAGTTGCTGCAGTTGACTGCCTGAATCATGGATATGGAATAAAAATGGCTAAAAATTAGACAAAGGTTATTAATATAAGCTCTTCAGGTTTGTCCTTTTTTTCCCTTCATTATTGCTGTATATTGCTAGAATGAAAAAACGAATGACATTATGATAGGTTCAGTGTCCATAATGTTTGTTCATTTCTGCTAAAACTATTACATAATATTTCCAGGGATGATTTTAAAATTAACAAGTTTTTACCTGGAAGCCCTATGAGACCTAACGGCACTGTGCCAAATTACTTTTCATTTCAAATATGAGGCTGAAAACTGAAGGTCACTGAGGAAGTTTTTCATTTCTGAAACCAAGACATCTGAGCTATCATTCAGATCTTTAAACATTAAAATACAAATCCTTATTCTAAATTAGCTAGATATCATAAGCCCTTCCTTACATGATAATGCAGAATTTCCAACCAAATGTCAAAATAATGTGACTTTAGAAGGAAGTACAATTCCCATGTATCAAATTCAGGTTGTTTTTTTTTCAAAAATGCCACATATTTAAAGTAGAATTTAATTGTACAATAAAATGTACGTTAAACTGGCCTCAGCTGCAGTTGCTTCAAATTTGACTCAAAATTAGTAATGATCACCAACATGCGACTTCTGGAATATGTGAAGCTCCTAACTCTTTTTAACGGTACTGTGATCTACATATTTAAAACTCAACAGTTTTTGAAACGGGATGATATTTCAGCAAAGACGCACCGCAAACCAGAGGTTGTTTATATTTCATTTTCCCTTCTTCTGCATGCCACGTTCTATTTCCAAAACTACTCGTACCTGTAAAGCAAACTCCTTTCTGTTTATTGGGAGAATTCTGCCCTTCCTCCTGCTAGTATATCCTTGCACAGTTCCATGTCTGTGCGACTGGCTTGGTGAATGCATGTGAGTTGAAAGCCTGAAGAAGGGACTGGCTGTGTGGATGCACTGGAGAGGCTGAACGTAAGCAAAGGCAGCAAAAAGAGCCCTCGGAGCTCTAGCAGCCAGTAAGCGAGAACCCAGAGGCATCTGGCACTATGCAGTATTAGTTTGTGAGTAGATGTGTAGGTTTTAGTGTGGAGTTTTTTTGTTATTGTTGTTTTAATGTCTTTAAATGAATTGCCACCTAAACCATTTTCAAATGTTTTTAAGCATTTGCTGATATTTTACTTTTTTCCTTAATGAAATGTATGCTTCCTTTCTTTTTGCCATCTGGCAAATTTTAATTTATCCGTGTGGTCCATAATAAATACTGTTTTTTCAGATGGCAACACCTCTAGTCTACCCTCCTTGCTCCCATTTCCCAGCCTCCTACCTCTTGTATGTATGGTCACAGGGAATTTTGATGTTATAAGACTATTGACCTCTGAGAGGAGATGTGGACTTGACGATCTGTTTTACCTCTTTTATTCTAATAGTAATTAGGAGACCTAGGAAAGTAGCATTTAGGGTAGCGAACTGAATATAGTTTCAGTATCCGAAAAATGACAGTTTAGTCAGTCAAATCCTGTTTGGTTTCCAGGAAGACATTAGTTGTTTCAAATTGTATTTGTCACATATGTTGCTTCCTGCAGGGGGAAAAAAAATAGGCGGAGGGAGACCTTTTCATTCCAAGAAGCTTTTTATTTCTCATTTCTATAAAAAGTTTATAATGCTGTGATCATGTCTGAAATAATTTGGTTACAGTCAGTCCTGTATATAACTGACTTATGAACATAAACATTTATTTTTACAGGTGTATAAACCATTTTCTGTCTACAGATGGATTAGTGTATGCGTATCGGTAGCTGTCCTGACAGATATGTTCTATTGATGTTATATCTGCCATGCAGAATATACCAGTAAAATTGCTACATAATTTTAAATCAATAGTTGGTACTAGCATAAATTAAGGTATTTTAATCTACGTTTGCAAAAATTGCTATGTTTGTTAATGTCAGAAGAACCACAGAAGTGACCTGTTAAGCAGTTGGTGTGGTTTTCTGTATCAGAAATTACAAAAATTCCAGAGAAATCACTCGGAGTGTATGTTATTTTTATTTAATGTGTGTTTAATTCTGTGGAATGCTGCAAACTTGGGTCTATATTGTGGTTTGTTGCTGAGTTAATGAAAACTGTGTGGTTTAGATATGAGGATTTATGTGCTTGTTTTTCAGCTTTGGGGCTTTTACCAGATTTGATTAGAATAAGAACCTCCATCTTGATAAAATAATTTTGAATGTTAATGTTTGAGAAACATTAACAGAACCTTTGACAGAAAAGTTCTTATAGAAGCTTTGTGTTTTGCGAATGCAGTATTTCAGAAGACACAATTTATTTCAACTTCCCTCTTGCAGGCTTCTTTATAGTTTAGCCTTTAATGCCAGATTCCTGAGGCATCTTTGGTATTTGATATCTTCAATGACTACACGAATGATTACAGGGTATGTATGACACCATTTCTGAAACTGAGTCTTTGTTAGAATAGAGCATATCTAGCGAAAAGAGAATGAGACAGATGGTGTGACTGCTCATGGAAGATGATTGAAAACAAAACCGTAGTGGTTACAACTTAGCTCTTACGATTTCAGAAAACTGAGCAAAATCTTGGAAGTTGGACAGTTGTAAATAATTAGAGGTAAATAAATAAAATCTTTATTTAAAATAAGGTGGTTGTTTTGTAGTTTTTGAAGTGCTTACAAGCATCAATATAACAAACACCGAAGTCCCAAGTACTTCATCCCACGTGTGTGAGTTTTGTCTCATATACTTTGCCTAGTCCAGAAATTGATGGTGGCAGAAGCATGTTCCCAGGATCTGGGGCATGGAACCTACAGATTTATTCTGTGCTGACACGCAGATTAGTTACTCTTTTTGCTTCGTGTCTCTATTCTAAACCAGAAAGTGTCTGCAGTCTGTAGTATTTGACGCCAAAGTTTGTGTATCATTAAGACACTGAGATACTATAGTGACAAGAACTTAGGGTACTCTCATTTTGCAAGAAATAGTAGTTATTTAACTGAGAGAGCTGTCCTCCTTTTGCTAAAAGAACTAATACTAAATATTTTTACTAGAATGCTGAAGTTAATACTTTTTAGAGTATTTAATTAACCACATCTTTAATTTTGCATTTTATATTTAAGGTCTATGGTGCCACTCCTTCAAGTGATTTCAAGAGGCTCTCCAATGTCTTTAGAAGACTCTAGTCGAATTATCCCTCTCTTCTACCTTTTTAGTTCTTTGTTTAGTCATTCACTTATTTCTATTCATGATAATGAATTCTTTGGCGATCCAATAGAAGGTGAGTTTCAAGCATACTAAATAGGAGTGCTTTGCAAAATGTTTTTGTGTAAGGCTGCAGAGTTCCCTGGGCAATGATTTGCTGACATCTGTGGGGAAGGCTCTTCTGGGTTGACTTGCTAATAGTCCCCTGAGCACTCAGCTGTCAGCTAGCTCTTTCATGGTGATTGCATTTAGAAAAAAAATAATGGTCTGCACCTTGGGAATACTAGCTTTGTTGTGTCTGATAGGAGAGTTCTTAATCATGATAACTTTTTATGAGTTAGTGAAGAGAGTGAAGTTCTTGTGGACTGAACCTGTAGTCTAATGTTAACATTTAAGATAGCAGGAATAACAAAAGAGTGTAAGATAATATTGTAATTGAAATCGTTGTGACTGCAAACAATTGCAAGACCTGATTGCCTTTATAAATGCATACTCATTCTCTTTTTGGGTGATGTTTCTTTTCTCTGCCTTTAGATTTTGCTAATGAATATTAGCGTTCCAATGAAATAAGTGGTTTTTTAAATAACAAAATGATTAAGAAAAAGTCATATAAAGAAACTTATACTTGTGTTTTATGTAGTTGTAGGTCAAAGACAATCATCAATGATGCCTTTTACACTAGATGAGCTTGTAATATTATCACGCTGCCTTCGAGATGCATGTTTAGGAATCATAAAGTTGGCTTACCCAGAAACAAAACCAGAAGTTCGTGAGGAATATATTGCAGCGTTTAAAAGTGTTGGAGTAACAAAAAATACAGAAATGCAGCAATGTATACAGACAGAACAAAAAAGGTGGATTCAATTATTCAAGGTAAATTGTGTCAATTTTCAGAACATTTTTAAATAAAATTCTCAGGCTTCTGCTGAAGATAGAGATTAGGTAATTTTTTTCTCTCTAATTATATTTTTAATACAGTTGTTACAAGAAACAGATTTGGGAAGGTTGCTTTTTGACATATATGCTAAACTTTGAGTAATTAAATTCTGATAATTGTAACTTTTTTTTTTGGCTTCTAGCAACTCTTTATTTAATTTTCCTGCTTATCCTGTTTGTAAAAAAAAAAGTTACTGTATAGAATTTTTAACTTGGGCTCCCATTCAGCAAGATACTTAAGCATGTCATTATAACTTTATGTAGCTGTGATATGCTAACTGAATCATAGGACTGCTCAACTACTGTATTGGAGGCTTCAGTTCTAAATTGAATTTAGAATTGGTGCCATGCTGCATTGGTTTTGTTGGGGTTCTACTAAAATACGTTGGTATTACTCCTTTTGGGTTGGTTGAAATAGTAATGGGATGGTGAATCAGGCTTAGCAAATGTAATGTATGTTACTTCTGGATATCTACCAATGTATTTCTGCTAGTTTAATCCATGGCATCCTACGTAAGACATGAGTTAGGAGAAGCTGAAAATGTTGGCAGGAAAAAACCTAATATAACTGTTGCCGAAAAAAAGGAGTGCTTGACTTCTCGTGAAAATTCTGCAGCAAACACATCTAGTCAGCTAAAATTGCTCATTAAAGAAGTGGGAGCAGAAGAAATGCATTTTCCAAATTGAATGCTAGATTTACAGTCTGTTTAATACTGGCGACCTCTCGCACACTAATGTTCAGTTCGAGTCATCAGCTGTCCCTTCAGGTCTTTTATCACTGCTTTTGTCAAGCTATCTATTTAATTGAAAGAAGTTAATTGAATGAAAATGATCAACTAAGCTTGTATTAATATTGCTAATGGAACTTTCTTCTTGGCCATGTTTGGAGAAAGATGTCATGCTAGACTTTAGGAAAGGCCCATTAAGGCTTGCACTTAACCTGATGGGCTAATTAAGGAATGCTTATTCATTCTACAAGTCTAAGATAGCCTCTATCTAGCCTATTCTGCCTGATTTTACAACACATTTCACTTATGAGCATAAGCATTAATGGCAGTGAGAGTAACTGATAATGTTTTGATTGCGTTGAATACAGTCCTAATGCACCACTGAATTTGTAATTTGCACGGATTGATCTAATATGTTTGCACAATTTAATTTAATTACTTGTCTTTAAATTGCCAAATAAACTTTCGATTTAAAGGTCACAAGCGAAAACCCCAATATGTCTCTTTTTCTAAGAAGGAAGGCATGCTAGGGCTATTTTATGTATGCATTTTATATCTTCTCTTTCTTCTCTTCAGTTTGTTATACTTAATCTTTTTATAAGCTTCTTACATTTCGGGTGAATTTGATCATATTTTGCTGTCATTCAGAAAGTTGTAAAATCCCAGGTTACTGTGCCCCACTTTGGCAGTTAGGAATTAAACTCGTCTGAACTCGGTGAGCACTTACTATTTTCAGGACGTGGGGTTGTCTTCCCTTAGCTGAATTGCAACTGTAGATCTTGAGGGTATCTCGAAGGCTCTGGTTCTACCCAAAAGGTAGCTAATAACAAAGCTTCTTATGTTTATTCCTTCAGAAACATGTTGTTACAGATAAAAATTCAACGTAGCTAAGTTCATCTCATCAAGAAGACTACTGTACACAGTGCTGAGTCTTTCCTGAGGGTGGCTTCAAAATAGCTTCTTGCCAGTAAGCAGGCAGCAATATCTTCTTCCAGATCATTAAAACAAAGCTAAAGTAGTTCATCAGAAATTTAAGATGTTGAGGTAGAAAATACTTTCCTTTCTTTTACGCTATATCAAGTATGACATATTTTCTAAAGCTTTTGCAAACTGCCTGCAGAGAAAAAGGCACATTCCTTCCCTATCATCTATGCTTTTAATTTATCTTTTTTTTTTCTTTTCTCACACTTGTTTTGCGCGTTTTCCATGCCACTCTTGTCTAATGAAATACATTCCTGTATATACAGGAAAATGCAGGCTTTACTTATGCAAGGTAATGGTAAATGTGAAAACAGTGAGACTGCTGACAATGAAGTGCTTATTTGCTAGCGGATTGGAGGTCTTTGAATTGATAAGATTTACGTATGAAAACGTCTTTATTCAGTGGAATCTCCCTTTTTGGCTTAGTATAATATTGAATAGTGTAGTCAACTGTTACAGATTCCATAGGGTGACTTAAGTTATGAGTACATGAAAATGGATTTTGTCAAGTAAAAGAATTATTTCACTATCTTGAGTTAATCCTATGAAATTTAAGTTGCTAATTTTGCTGGATTATAGTTTTTAATCTTACTTGCACTTGGCGTTTTGTTGGAAAGAAATCTCCGTTTCAATATTATTTACTGAAGTGGGTCTTTCCTTTCAATAAAATACATACTTATAAAAAAATGTTACAAAAGTCCCGAGTTTAGAATGCTAGTGTTCTCAGTACCTATTTGTTATGTAGAAGGAAGTCCAGTCTTGCCTAATTTGATTTAGCTTCCTTTAAGGATTCTTCAATTGCTTATAAAATATTTTATTAGCGTGATCGTCACATGGATAATTTTTTCTGGGTTTTGTTTTTTTTTTTTTTCTTTTCTTTCATTTAAGTATAGTAGTAATGGGACCACAGAGCTTCAGTGACTCATCTAACCTGCACTGAATTTTATAAGGGCAAGGTGATGAAAATTCTTGTGTAATCAGACAGTTCCCTTAATAGCGTTCTTCTTTGTTCTGTCTTTATTCAAGATGTGACTTTACAAACTGGATCTTAAAAGGTCTTTTGTGTAGTATGAGACACAGAGTCCTTTACAAGGCCCATTAAACTCTTTGTTACTCTTGACATCTGCCCATTAAGACTGTCTTTTAGCAAGAATATTTCAGAAAAGCTTTGTGTATGTTTTTTCCTATTCATTTTGTGCTGTTGTTCTGCCTTGCAAAACAGATAGCTGTTCATGGTAGCAGTGATAAGGTATTTTAGGCTAGTAATTTAATATTCTATCGATTCCACTTAATTGTGTTTTACCTAGTGTTGGGCTAAGTTGGTTCTGCTTTGGAGAGAAGATGTGCAACTAAGTATGACAATTCTGCTTCAGATGGAGTAATTGCTAGCTTGTTATTGCTACTTCCCTGCCCCGGATTGGAGGAAACTGCCAAGAAAAATACTAAAATTGCAAAGACACCGTAGTGACCATGACAACAATTTTTCACGGCCTCCCAAATTTGTTATGAAGATGAGCATTAACTAGTTATCTCTTTAGTTTTCTCGGTTTATGACTGTGTGGTCGTTATAATGACAGAATTACCTTTCATCATTGGAGTTCCTTATGAATAAGAATGAATTAAACACAGTGGTTTAAGCTAATGTGCGTGTGGTTGCGTGAAGTATGGCTGTACACATCATGACCACAAACTATATAAAAGACCATTGTATAAATGACCTAGTTAGGTGTTACTTTCTTTAATAAGTAATTTAATGCTGGTAATGGTTTGTTTAGCCTTCCCTGAAATGGTATACAATTTTTTAGGTGTGTAGAGTAGTCCTAGGATTACTTAGTCCTAGTTCTTAGGTTTTGGAATGATACTTTAATAAGCCAATTTTTTTGATGATTTACGGGTGAACCACAATGGCTTACTTGCATTCTAAGGTATTAAAGTATAAGAGCAAGTTTTTGTAAGTTAAAAAAAAAAAAGTAACAATTTTGTACATTACTGAAAAATTTTGTGAAGTTTTTTGCTTATGTTATACTATTTCATTCACAGTGCTAAATGTATATTGAATATATGTCTTTCTGCCACCTAGGTCATCACAAACTTAGTGAAAATGTTGAAATCTAGAGATACAAGAAGGAATTTCTGCCCACCAAATCACTGGCTCTCAGAACAAGAAAACATTAAAGCAGATAAGGTGAGAGTAATATCTTTTTTCCACGTAGCCTTACAGCTGCCAAAGTTTCTATGCTCAAGTGTTTTATTCCTGATTGTATCAATGGTGATGTTGATGTACAGATTAGTGTGGTTTAAAACCTGGAGTAATGCTGATTTTTCTTTGATGTAAAAGTCTTGCATCTGTTGAGAGACTTTTATGTTAAATCACATTTCTTGTCCATAAAGTAGAACCCAGTCTACAGTGCAACAGTGTAAGTCATCTGCGTTTATAGCAGAGGAGAATTGAAAATCTGGTAGAGTTTTATTGCATTTTATTTTTTAGATCTTTTAAGTACTTCTCATAATAAAAATGCCAAATAAAAGAATTGCTCGGGGAGGCGGGGAGGAGGGGGGGGAGGGAACCGTCAAGAATCTCTTCCAAAATAAGAGAAAATTCAGTAGCATTTTCTGTACTTCTGTGGAAATTACTTTTTTTTCCAAAGAGCTTTTGAAAAAAAGGACGTTGTTTGAGCTTAAAAAGTGTGTATGTGTGTGCAAAAGAAAACATTAATGTGATGAATGTGCAAGTATATCCTTTGAATCATTGAAAACTTGGATCTTAAGAAGCTAGTTACAGCTCAGGTAGACTACTGTGCGCTACGAGACGTCTTACGAGTTGGAAGTTTTGCACGGAACAGTTAACAGTGAATTCTTCTCTTTATTTTTGATGATTGTGCATTTACTTGCCTTGTGTTCAAGGCTTCCATTTCTCTATGTGACAGTTCTTTATGGAACTGTCACATAGAGAACTACTTAGGAAGTAGTGCCTACACACCTTAGAGAAAGTAGTAGTAGTCTTAAACTGTGATGCTAACCTAATTCTCAGTACAAAGTAAACAGAATTTATTGGGCATCTCAAAGTTCAAACTCAGCTTCTCTAGTATCTTAAAACAAGAATTTAATGTAACATTGCACAGTATTTTAAAATGATACATTTTTGTTAATTTTGGAGCTCAGCTTTAAGACAGAAGTATAAGGAGGAGTGGCTAGAAATGAAGATATTTGGGCACTCAGACACACTCTTGGATGTGAGTCCAAATTATGTATTTACTATGTAATAGTAAATTGTAATATGTGATTAGATATTATTTAACTGTAAAATACTGTTAATTTATTAGGTTACGCAGCTCTATGTGCCATCTGCTAGACATGTCTGGAGGGTCAGAAGAATGGGAAGAATAGGGCCGTTGCAATCTACTTTGGATGGTAAGATACTGTCTATGTAATTTTTGCTTTACTAAGTCGAAATAACAGTTTTCCTTATGCAAAGAAAGAGATCAGTTGAGTATTTTGTAGAAAAGTCTTAATGATAGCCAAAAGCAAGGCAATCTTTCATAATTTTGTTTCGGATATTTTAAAAAATGTAAGTTTGTATACACGTGCGTTTATGTCTTTCGAATATTTAATGTATAACAGCTTTCCCCAAGCTTCTGCTGACATTGGTGAAGGGAAATGATGAGATGGACAAATGATATGTGTTAAAAATATATATATCCATATGTATAAAATACAGTTGCAGAAGATAAAAAGCATTGAAGTTTTGCAGGGAGTGCTCCCTGAGTCTCGATTTAGCAGGAACAAAGGCCCTTGGCCAACACCACCAGACTGCAGGCAACCGCACCCTGGCCCAGGACGTGCCCAGCTGTGCACCCCAGCTGTGCCCCGCGGCCACCGCCTCACCACCAGGCAAGGGGCAGTCACCCAGCGCAGACAGCCGCGCACACAGGCGGCTGCAGTGAGGCGTGCACCTCCCCTCTCTCTCTGCTGCAGGTTCCCAACAGTTGCTTTCTTCCCTTCTTAAATACCTAATCACGGAGGCATTACCACTGTCATCGGTTGGCTTGACTTGGCCAGAGGTGGGTTCAGCTTGGAGCCAAGGAAACTTCTAGCAGCTTCAAACAGGAGCCTCCCCTGTGGCCCCTTCCCCACTTTCAAAACCCCACCACATAAGGCCAATACATGGTTATTCTAGAATTTTACCTTGCTATGCTCAGGTAAAATAGTAATTAAATCTCTAATTCTTGTGAGGATTTAATAATGAACTAAAAATGGGGCATTTTAAGCAGCAAAATGATCCATCTATGAGAGTCCATGCTCTCTTTCAAGACTATGTAATCTGCTTGAATATCTTGGCCAAATCACTTAGAAAAGACCATAGCCTTTGAATGCTGCTGTAAAGTTGTACAGAATTGAGGGCTTTGCCCAAGGTTGAAACCTGAGGACTTCCTGTAGTGATATTTTTTGTTTGAATAGCTATGATGATATAAGTTCACATGGATTACCTTATTAGTCTAGTTGCCAGGTAGCAACTAGTTGGTCCAGTGTAAGTGCTTCTCAGAATTTGCAAAGGAATATTTTTTCAATTTGGCTTCTCTCTTTGGAAGTCACCAGTTCTGAGTGATTGATAATATGAAATCTTAAAAGCAGGTGTTTTAGCAAAAATTGCCAGGCTTCAACAGGCCTGTATCCTGTGTGCCTCGTGGACTCTACATCAGTAATCTCAATTTCTTCCATTGACCTACATGACTCTTTACAGCTGTACTGTCTTATCAGTAGCAGATATGTTCCACATCTAGTACGCCCAGATTCTCTCTCATGCTACTAGTCTGCTAGTCTCCTTCTCCTCATGCGTACAGTACCTTGACCTCTGTCCCTTGTCTGCCTTCCCATAATAGCACCAGTTCTCTCTGTTTCGTTAGATGCCTTGGTCTGGGCAGTTGGTGGATAAGGAATGCGTGTGTTGTGGCTGGTGCGGAGCAGCTACATGCCCTCGTTTTGCTGGCTGTCAGGCAAGCTGTCGCTCTGAACAGAGCAGATAATGAAGCTCTGCTTGCTGTTTCTGTAATCAGGTCACTAAAGGAATTTATCTGGCTGAAAATTTTCACAAAACTTACTTTTGAATCTCCTATTCTCTGTCAGAGTTAAAATCCAACTGGTTAGCTCCGAAGGTGTGTTTGGAGGCAGGATGGTGAGGAAAGATGACACAGTGTGTTCATGTAAACCTCGTTTTCGTATGAAATCAGGCTAAAAAAAGTGCAGTCAACATGAATGTGTGAAAACAAGCAGGTAACCATGTGCACATGACTTGTTCAGTCTCTCTTGACTCCATATGGGTTGAAACCAATTAGGATGAAAGTACTGCTGAATCACATATGGTCATGTTTATTTGTGCTTTTTCATTTACTTAAATGGCAGACTCCTGAGTTCTAAATGCCCTCTCTATTGATGACTCCATCCCATATTTCTCTTTAAAGAAAGAAGCTTCGATGGAGAAATGCAAATAAAATTGACTAATTGACTGGAATAATTGAACTATTGGAGTCATGTAGTAGTTTACCTTTGCTGTACGTGCACTTTTTATTTAAAATGCTTTTAACCCTTAGCTTAATAGGCTGCATTCATTGACTTTAATCAAAAATGTTTACCAAGTAAACTAAGGGTAATCAGAGATAAGCATTTTATCAGAAATTCCAGAGGCTTGCTATGTTGAAACCTGCCTCAAATGAATATACATCAAGTATAGTGATGTTTTGGGTCACATCATGTTAAATTGGTGCTTTAAATATCCATACTTGAAGTGCTTTGAGGAGTAAAAAAAGCCCCAAGCAACAGTGAAGTCATGTCCCAGTTACAGGAGGGCAGCAAGGTGCTAGTCACCACAGGTAGGAGCCAAAGGGAGAACTTGGAACTGTCATCATAAGCTTCCAGACTGGGTAGTAATGTGAAGCATTTACTTCATTTTTGTAATACGGTCTATAAATAGTCTAGACTTGCAAGTCTTTTTCTGAGAAGGTGGTTATTAAACATGAAAGTGAAACAACTAAGGAGTTGTGTGTTTTGTTTCCTCTGTAGACTGAAGCTAGGTGGACCTTTAACCACAGTGTCCAGTCAGTGAGCAATACTGGGAATTTTTTACTGCAGTTAATTAATTACAGTAAATACAGTTTCTGACTGTAAATATACTCAGGTTGCCCAGAGAAGTTGTGGATGCCCCATCCCTGGAAGTGTTCAAGGCCAGGTTGGATGAGGCTTTGGGCAACCTGGTGTAGTGGAGAATTTCCCTGCCCATGGCAGGGGGGTTGGAACTAGATGATCTTTGAGGTCCCTTCCAACCCAAACCATTCTGTGATTTCTTGGTACATACTCGGCAATTAAGTTTCCTCCCATGAAGTTAGAGCAGGATTGTCACTTCTGCTGTGCATCACCCAAAGTTGAGTTGCTTCCTGAAAGCATCTGCTGTGGGTATAAGAAGGTTCACAGGAGCTGCACGGTGGCTTGGGAACTGCTTGTCTCTCTTGCTTTGGCTTCTTGAACTCTTTTCTAATCTTCTTTTCTTGGGCATATTATACGATTTCTTGATGTTCTTTTCACTATTTCTGCAGTGACTAGGATTTAGTGTGATCACTGTGACCTTGCTGTTGCGAGAGGAAGCCCTCTTGGTTTAATTAGATTTGGTGTAATTCTTAGTTTTTATGCCTAAAATGATTTAATTGAAAGTAGATGTTGTAGTTGAAAGCACAATACCTTTACACTATTTTATCATTGGAATGGGAATATTGTGTATTCCTGCGATGAAAACTCTAATTACTTACAACTTGTCTTCTGTCATGTATTTTTTTCTTAATTGAAAAATTAAAATGTCAATAATAAGAAAATAACTTTTTTCTTCTGAATAAAGCAAAAAATTCAGGAGTACTTATTTTTATACACGTTTTGTTTTCAGTGTGTTTTCACTACTTGTATTTTAGTTTGCCTGTAGAAACTAATGTTTACAGAAAGGTAAGGTTTGGTGTGATTGTTTAGTAAACGAACTATTTTAATGTATATATTTTTATACAAAGTAAATTGAGTCTCACTTGATATAAAATAAACTGCTTTAAAAAAATGTTCTTTCCAAAATTTTTAAAATTATTATTTCTATTTTAAGTGGGTTTGGAACCAGCACCTCTTTCTGTATCGGAAGAACGACAGCTTGCAATTCTGACAGAGCTACCTTTTGTAGTTCCTTTTGAAGAAAGAGTAAAGGTACCTAATTTCTAATTTAATATACAATTGATATTTTTAGTTTTTTGCTTTCAATAAGTGTAAAAAAAGCACTTGGCTAAATAGAAACTG